TATTTATTATAAGGATACTATAAATTTGCTTTAATTTCATCAATGCAATTAAGAATTTTCTTCGGCCAATTCAAATCGCAGTGTAAAAGTAATCGTTTTTTGTATATATTATTTTATATTCTTCGTGGTATCTATTAATGAAATCAAGCATTTTCAAAGCCTCATCATCTTCCATTATTTCCATTTTGTGTATTGCAATTTTACAAATGTTAATAAATCAATGACACAATGACAGTCAACATCACTCAAAATTATAAAAATTAAACATTTTAAGGTTAAGTAATGGTTTAAGCTGAAAAATTTCTGGGCTTAGTAAAGTGATTCTTAACGCCTTGATAAGTGGAACTTTAATAACGGTGCAAACGGTTATGCCTTCTTAAGTGTCACTTAGATGCTAAGTAAAAGCGGTGCGAATGGCCCATAAACGTTTTATGGTATTTATATCCGTAAAAAGTGTAGTTTGTCTTATTAAAAAGCCAAGAGCCCGATTTGCAGATTTCATCGTGTTTTCGATATGAATACCAAAGGATAATTTATTATTATATGTTACACCTAAATCTTTAATAACATTTTGTCGAGCCAGATCGCTATTATTCATTTCATATTTAAAAATAATAGGTTCTTTTTGTCTAGTTATACTAATAACACTACATTTTTTTACATTAAAGTTCAATTTAAATTTTGTACTCCACTGATAAATACTATTAATATCTTTTTGAAGTAGAATGCAATCACGTACCGTTTGAATTTCTTTATATACTTTTAAATCATCAGCAAAGATCAGGCATTTTGAGTATTTTACTACAGTTGGTAGATCATTTATGAACAAAAGGAAGAGCAAGGGCCCCAAATTGGACCCTTGCGGAACACCTGAATTTGCTGTAAATTTTCCAGATGTATTACCATCATGCCTTACTACAAAAAACCTGTTTTGTAAATAGCTTTTAAATAAGGACATACTTCTATTTGTAAGTCCAAACTGATAGATTTTTTCCAGTAACACATCATGGTCCACTCTGTCGAAAGCTTTACTGAAATCAGTGTATATCCAATATGTTTATCCAATCAGAACAAAAGTCTTCTGGTTCTTTTATATTTAATTGATTTTCTTTTAATGGTGAGTTTATTTTAAATATTCATTATAGTATATTACATTACGAGTGTGGAAAGTGACATTTTTCACACGAGTGGGAAATATTGTCGCACGAGGCGTAAGCCGAGTGCGACAATCACACGAGTGTGGAAAATCACTTTTCACACAAGTGATGTACAATATTTTTCCTACGACCACAAAATAATTTCATCAAAAAATGTAAAACCAGATTATTATAATAATTAAAATGTATTTAAAAAAATAATCAACAATAATCGTATTTATTAAATTTTCATAATTTCTAAACAAATAAAAAAAAATAAAAAAAAAATTCTGGCACAGCCAGGATTCGATCGCGGTCGTTGGACGGTCTCAAATTGCAAAGTTGATGCTCTAACCAACTGAGCTAACAGGCCTTACGGTAATTGATTGATCTAATCGCTTATGTGTTTAACCAGAATAAAAAGCAAATATATCTTAGTTATTTTAAAATTATTTTAAAAATAATTGTTAAAGATAAATATCTAGGATCTAATTTACAATAATTTAACAATCATATCGATTTTAGTAATAATATGGACATTACATAGATCAAAATAGAAATTATGTGTTTGACATTTTCTGACAGCTACTGCGGAAAGTAGCATATTCTCACTTGGGTGGAAAGTAAATTCTTATTCATACGCGTGTGATATAGGGCACTTTCCATAGGTCTATATAGTGTGATATGTGTCACTTTCCTAAGTGGTCGTAGGAAAAATAATTTTCTGAACAATTTCTTTTAAATTTTAACAACAGTTATTTTCATGTCTGTGTTGTCAATTTTAAGTAATTTGAATTTTTATGTCATATAATTTTAGGTTGGTACCTTGTTAGTTAATTTTTTTAAGATTTAACAACCTTTTTGACATACAGAGTGTTAAAATTTTATCATCCAATTTTTTTTTTAATTTTGTGTTGAATCTGTATTTATTTATTATAATTAATTACATTTTTAGATTATGATGATGTTCATATGCCAAGGATTACTGGAATATTGTCTGCTGGTAATATTTTGTTGCCTGAAATGAAATTATAGCACCCTTTTGTTGCATTTACTGTAAAATAGAAAGCCAGTTTCCTTTTTCTTTACATATATAACAATAGATTTATTTATTATATTGGCTTCGCTATAGCCTTAATAAATATTTTAAAGGTTTCGAGAGATAACTGTGTGTCGTATTTTCATTGTATCATGCTCACATTTTCTTTACATTACAATATATTGCTTGCTGGTGAGTATTGAAAAGGACAAAACCGGTCCAAGAGTAAGCAAAATCAAAGTTGGAGTATAGAAATTGGGGGTAAAAAAAAGATAGGGATGTAACCCGATGGATGTATACAGCAATATGTTCAATCAGAACCTGTTCTACGGCCGCAATGGAGGTGATCTTAAACCTCACCCCTCTACATTTAATGATAGAGAAAGTGACGAAAAGAACACGATGTAAAATGATCAGGAACAGAGAAATTAGGCGAAACTCTTTTACCTTTAGAACCGAAGATACTTGGGATATGCATCCCAAGATGAAATGTGAAAGAATAACAGTTTTGTGAAAAAATGCAAAAAAATAGAACGAAGAATCCATTGTGCTAACAACGGAAAGACATGCTATTCTGTGATGTACAGGTAGTTCCAAATCCATAGAAGGAACTGGAATAGAAGTGTAAGGGCCTAGTACCAGGCACTCTGAAAGTTTGTGAAAATACCCAAGCGTCTTCCAGGCGGAAATTCACGCCATTGAGTGTATCCCGTTTACCATCAAGAGAAACTATGGCAGATAAGGAACTATTATTATGTAATCAGCTCAAAAATGGTGTGGAGAGGCCTAAAATAGTATATATAGAATTTTTTTACTACTAACATTAATGTATTAGCAATTTTAATTTTGACATAAGTAATTTCCTAACAATTTGTTAAATATTTCGAAATATCAAGCAGACTGGAGCGTGTTTCTAATCAGACTGGCTTTATTTATGTAAAAATTTGGCATGTGTCAAATTTTGGTATGATTCTAGGAAATATCCCATTGCATTTTTGATATTTTAATGACATGGATTTATTGTTATTAATTAATAATTTTTAAAGCCGGTGTTGAATTTCCTAGTTAATATATATTTTTACTATTAACACTGATATATATTATCATATTTGATTTGATTAGATTTTAATAAACCCAGCTTTAGTTATTTCCTACTTATTTTTCAAATATTTCAAAATATCAAGTAGTCTGGGAGTTTAGTTGTCAAATTAACAAAATGAAACTAATGAAATTTAGTTTCATTATTTACCTAGGTTTTTTTTTATTATCATTATTTACCTAGGGAGAGAAATATTACTTCTCATCAGAGGAATGGAGTAAATAATGGTGATTTCTCATGTTAGTAGTAAAAAAAATTTCTTATTCGAATGTGTGTCGTTTTTCGGACAGAAAACATAGTCGAAAAGTGGAACTTTTGTCCATACTTCATAAAGACTTTATCAGACGAAAAGTGCTTTTTTCGGACTCCTACAGACATAGGAGTCCGCCTAACAAGCTTCTCGTCGTCGTCCGAAAAACTAAATTTTTCGTCCTTGTAACATAAACTTCTATAATGTGCCAGGCGAGAAAAATATATTTTTTCTCATTTGGGTTCCGGTACAAAACGGGGTAAAAGGTAACGAGATTGCAGATAGTCTCGCAAGAAAAGAGGCTCAAACACCCTTTGTGGTACCTTAGCAGTAACAAACTATTAGAAGAGATTAAAAAAGAATTAGGCAGTAGAAGAACCGATATTTTAAACAATCTGTTGGGACAAAAAAGCAGGCTAATATACTTATGAGTGAATATAACCAGAAAATATCGGTAGCCTGTATCTACCTGAGAAAGAACAGGCTACGTATTGTAACAGGGATTCTTACTGGGCATTGCTGACTCAAAGGACAGCTTAATAAACTAAGAGTAGTAGGAAAAAGTGAGTATAGATTATGTAAGTCACATTAGCTTGGTTTTAAAATAGCAAAACCATGATGTAAAGTGTTAAAATACATTATAAAATGCAAAATTTTTATTAAAAATTTTTAGTTATTATTATCAATATATCAATATCATACTGTTTTCAAACACTACAAGTTGCAGTACCCTTTTATAATATATGATCGATAAATAATCGACTAATCGAAAATAATTGATTAATTTAATAATCGATCATTTGAAAACAATCGATTGTTCGAACAAAATCGATTATTCGAAAAGAATCGATTAATTGGTTAAATGATTAATAAAAAATAATCGATTAATTGTTTAATCGATTATTAAAAAATAATCAATTATTCGGACAAAATCGATTAATCGAAAATAGTCGATTATTCGAAAACAATCGATTCATCGGAAAAAATAGCTTATTTGACAAGAATCGATTAATCGGATAGAATCGATTATTTTTAAGAAATTAAAAAAATAACCGATTATTTAAAACAATCGATAATTGAATATTTATTTTGATAATCGCCCGGCCCTAGTTATTTGTGTAATTGGACTGTTTTAATTAAATTATAGAAATATAGTAAAATATAAAAAAAGTATACTAAATCTAGCCAAAAAAAGCTAAAAATCTACCAAAAATTACAAAGTTAGAGTGACCTGATGCGAAGTTAACTAACGTGTCGTAATCTACGTGCGATGCACAAAATGATGTTAAAATAGCGTGGTTAAAAATAGCGTTTTTTGATATTGGATTTAATACTATACATAAGTATATGAGTGTCAGTAATTTAATGTAGGAGTGCTTGATGCACTAAAATATTGATTACAAATGCTTTCGTTTTCGGTGCTTCATTCATCCTTTACAAAAAAATATTATCCACAAAAAAAATTATTCTACTTACGTCATAAGGGAAACCATGAATTTGAGTAGCACAGAATAACGAAAAAAATAAAATTAATTTTGTCGCTCTCATTGTGATGAATGAATACTCTCTGGAATTAATGATTTTTCATTATTTATTATATTTAAATATGATAATAATTTATCAAAAATTTCACATAATCTGAAGTAGGTATAGTACTTAGGTGCTTCAGATTTGATTTACAGTTTTAATTATACAATTACTTTTATAAGTTGGGGGAGTATCAATATTTTAAAAGATCTCTAGGCACTGGAACTACCCTAAATTTGAATGGCTTTAGCCACCCTGGATGAATTTGGCTAATTCCGAAAATTTGTACCTTTTCTAAAAAAATGTCAACTATATCCCCTTATCGCATACTGTGCCATATTTGGCACACGTATATAATAATTTTTTTCTAAGTTTCCAAAGAGTTTAGTGCTGTCAACTCAAGTTGTCCCATATGTGGCTCACTCGTTTGTTCACAGGCAGTCGCTAAATCCCCTCTACTATCATACGCGCAAATTTGATGAATCATTTAGTAAATATCTGGCTGGTCACAGGCGCTAGCTTGTTTGGGGCAAATTCAAAATAGAATATTTTTGTTCTTTTGGCCTAATTTGTGTGGAAAAAATTATTTTTATAACGTTAAGTGTTTACTGTGATGACAAAACTTTTTTCTATATAAAAACGAGAAAAAACAGTCTTTTTTTACTTGTGCCATATTTGGAACAATATGAGATAAAGATAATATTTTTGTAAAGGATTTTTACTTTCCCATCTGTATACAGATAAGGAAAGTATGGGAATCATGATTTTTTTCGACCTCGAGTTTTCGACGGATTTTTACGTTTTGAGGTCCCCTGAATCCGTTTTGACTATTTTCGCGCTGATGTATGTGTGTGTGTGTGTATGTGTGTGTGTATGTGTGTGTGTATGTGTGTGTGTATGTGTGTGTGTATGTGTGTGTATGTATGTGTGTGTGTGTGTGTGTGGGTGCGTGCGTGCGTGCGTGCGTGCGTGCGTGCGTGCGTGCGTGCGTGCGTGCGTGCGTGCGTGCGTGCGTGCGTGCGTGCGTGCGTGCGTACGTGTGTGTATACCCACCATAACTCATGAACCGATACAAAGAAAAACACCAAATTTTAAAATTAGGCTTTATTTCTGCGTCCAATGAACTGATTAGATTTTGGGCAGAGTCGGAACATCTCGGGGGGTACTTTATGGGTGGTCATTTTTATATTTTATGGAATATATCTGTTATTTACGTTTGGAGAAGAAAATTCTTTAAATAAATGTTACTTACAATAATATTATCAATATTTTTTGTTCTTTACAAAATTTTCGTAAAATGGTCCGTATTCGAGAAATTTGACAAAATGTAAAACCTATTTTTTATAAAAATTGTTCAAATAAAAGTTGTTCAAATAAAAGTTGTTCAAATAAAAGTTGTTCAAATAAAAGTTGTTCAAATAAAAGTTGTTCAAATAAAAGTTGTTTCTAATATAATTTTCTATAGTTTTTTATTTTATACATAATTTCTCTAAAATGGACCATATTCGAGATATTTAGGAAAATGTGTAAATTTCGAATTTTGAAGAAAACTCAAGAATGGATATAAAAAAAAACATTAAATTTTAAACTTAAGTTTTATTTCGGCCAGACGTGAAACGATTAGATTTTGGACAAAGTCGGTTCATCTGGGGGGGGGGTACTTTATGGGAGGCTGTTTTTATATTTTATGGAATATATCTGTTATTTATGTTTGGAGAAGAAAATTGTTCAAATAAAAGTTACTTCTAATATTATCTATAATTTTTGCTTTATGTCAAATTTTCCTGAAATAGTCCGTATTCGAGAAATTTGACAAAATACGCAAAATTCTGATTTTTAAGAAAATTGTTGAACTAAAAGTTGTTTGCGATATCGATTTCTATAATTTTTGTTTTTACATGATTTTTCTAAAATGGACCGTAATGGAAAAATTGGAGGAAAAGTGTTAAATTTTCGTTTTTAATGAATATCTATACAAAAATGTTACGAGGTAGATGTATGTGGAAAATGTATATATTTAGTTTATCCTCTAAACATTTATACAGGTGCTGCAATAAGTTGTATAAAATAACCGGAAAAAGCCTATAATAACTAAATAGGAAAGTCATGTGTTGGACACATCAGATTTTTTGTTTGTTCAGATGAATACCAAGAAGTTCAATGGAATAAAAAAAGTACAAATTTCAATTACTCATGGGAGTGATGATGAGAATTTATCTTTCGATGATGAACATCGAAAGAATGAACTAATGAGTCTCATAAAACCTACAAAAATTTTGTGTGAGTCATCAGATAGTGAAAGCAATGCTTCATCAATTAGAGAGGTAATTATCGACGAAACTGATAGTGACAGCGAATACGAAATACCGCTCTCTAGATTACGATAATCTAATCAAGATAAACATAGTGATATAAATGTTCCCTCGACATCTCAATCTCATACTAATACAAATTTACCATCAACATCGAATAGCAAAAAATGTAAAAAATCACAACACAAAAAAATGGGAAAAAAAGAAGTTGTCTGCAGAATATGTTTGTAGTTACGCAAACGCACTACATACTTTCGTTCTTAACTCTCCGCAACACATGAGTCTTACGTACACTATCACCTTTTTAGATATCCATACTTTACGTGGCTGCTATACTGAAGGATTAAACTTACCTCGTTGGCAACCTCGGTTGCCAAGCAATAACATTATTATTTATATACACACTGTCAGTTATAACTTTTAATTGTCACTGAATTGGCAACAATTATTATACATTTTATACGTATCAGTTTTTATTTCAACATTTATTTGATAGGATCTTTCAAACAATAAGCTCCCAGTCTGGTGATTAATTAAAAAATATAATACAAAAAATTGCTGTTACTGAAGAATTTGTGAAATTCAAAGGAGATGAAACACTTTTAATTTTCATACAAGAATTCGAAGATCTCATTCATTTTTTCAATTTTTTTTTTACCGAAGAAATTTTTATTTATATAGCTAAACAGTCAAACTTTTTTGGTGTACAAAGTAGGCTTGAAAAACCGCCCAATATATCCAAAGAAGAACTTCGTATTTTTTGCGGTATTTGCATATACATATCAATTATTCAACTCCCTTCAACCAGGTCCTACTGGAACCAATCGTTAGATATTCCCTGCATCTCACGTGCTATGACCTGCAATAGATTTGAAGAAATCAAACCATTTCTTCACTTCAATGACAACACACGCCAGGTTTCTCAAGAGCAGCCAGGTTATGAAAAGCTTTTCAAAATACGTCCATTGCTAAACAAAATTCGTAAACGTTTCTTACTTGTTCCTAAAGAGGAGCATATGGACGTGGATGAACAAATTATTCCAACAAAAGCTCGATCAAGTCTTAAACAATATAATCCTAAGAAACCTCATAAATAAAGATACAAGGTTTTTGTTCTAAGTGGGGTGTCTGTATTTTCTTACGATTTCGACTTTTATTGTGGAGCTACTACCTACTCTTGAAAATAATCAACTAGATCTAGGAGCAAGCAGCAATGTTGTTTTAAAACTTTCAGAATCAATTCCATAAATCTAAACTACAAATTTTTTAGATAACTGGTTTACGAGCATTCCTCTACAAATATACCTCACCAATAATGATATTTTACCTTTGGGGACAGTAAGAGGAAATTGCGTGCATTATTTCGAATTCCCTAAGGAAGCAGCTATAAAAAAAAGAAAGGTAGAGGTACAATTATTGAAGCAGTGGCCAATGTAGATGGTGTGGACATATCTGTTATTTCATGGTTTGATAATAAAATTGTGAACACCATGTCAACATATGTTGGGAGTCAGCCTGTATTGATGGTAACCAGATTCTGCAGAAAATCTAGTACACTTGTAGAAATCACCCGCCCTCAATGTGTTGCGGTATATAATGCGTATATGGGGGGAGTAGATCTTCTCGATTCTATGTTAGGATACTACCGAATCCAAATTCGATCCGAAAAGTGGTACATGAGGGTATTTTTCCATTTCCTGGATATGATATGCGTCAATAGCTGGATACTGTGGAGGCGAACCCTAAAAAAAATGATTGCAGGATTCAAACTTGGTATCGCAGAAGTTTTGACCAGAGCTTATAATTCAGAAAGAAAAAGGGGAAGATCAAGTACCAGCTTATAACCTCAACTGGATCTCAAAAAAAAGGAATATCCTTTTTCGCAGATTCCAGCCCAGAAAATAAGAACGGACAACTTGAATCATTTGCGAAGAGTAAATGAAGAACAACAGAGGTGCAAATATCTAGATTGTAAGGAAAAATCCCAGATATTATGTGGCAAATATTCAGTATTTTTATGTCTAAATTCCACACGGAATAGGGCAAGATTTTCACTCTTTTGTTGAGATAAAATCTATTTTTTAAAAATAATTTTGAATTTATACTTATTACTTTTGTATTATTTCCGAAATTTGTGCCAAATTTTGCACAAGTCAAAGTTTGACATTTATTTCCTTTAAATATTGGTAAATATTTTTTTCACTATTTTTTCATAACTCCTGATCAATCATTCTAACCTAACGCATATATTTTTTTGAGAAAGAAATATAAAATCATACAGTAAGGGGATATACATCATAAGTGTTAATGTGTGATGTGAGTGTCGACTGATAGTGTCCCTCTGGTACAGAAGCGTCATCTTAATTTTATACATTTTGAGGGACACCTTGTATTTACAGAGATAGTTCTCCTTACCTCTACGACACTTTGTATTTACAGAGATAGTTCTCCTTACCTCTACGACACTTTGTATTTACAGAGATAGTTCTTCTTACCTCTACACTCCATAGTCCATTCAAACAAGAAAATAAAACAATTTTTGTCAAAATTTCAAATACGAGGTTTTGCACTTTCACCGACGATATTAATATATACCTAATATACGAAATTGGGCAAAAATGTTTCATTTAATAGGAATAAAATCACAAGGTAATCCATTTAAATTATCAGCAAAATTATTCTAATGACACTTTGGATTGTAAATAGGTGATAAAAAACTTACTAGATCTGA